GTGTGTGTGTGTGGTGTGTGTGTGTGTGTGTGTGTGTGTGTGTGTGTGTGTGTGTGTGTGTGTGTGTGTGTGTGGTGTCATGATTCGGTTCTGTGTTGCTTCCTGTCAGGCTTTTATTTTGATGCTACGTCCTGTTTTGTTTCACCACAGTTTTGGTCTTTTTACTTTCTTCATCACCCGCATTAGTTTCACCTGCTCATTATAGTTTGCACCGCATCATAAGCAGCCTTCACCCACCAATCCCAGCCAGATTGTTCTAGACGCCACCTCTCACTCTCCAGCATTTTTCGGTTTTGGTACTTTGTGTTTTTGACCCGGCTTGTTCCTCTGACTATTCTGTTCTGCCTTGCCCTCTTGCTTCAGACTGTCACTGTGTATAATTATCGGACTTCCCTTTGGACTACGTATTTGGATTCCTCTGCTGTATGTGTTTGCTGGCTCTGATCTCGGACTGTTTATACCGACCTGTGATTTTTGTGTTTCACCGTGTCTTGTATGGTTTTGTTTAGCGTTAGTTCTCTTATTAAAGAGACGGTTTTGTTTTACATTTCCTTGTCTGGCCTTTTAATTGAGTTCACCCTCAACATTTTTGGCAGCATAACGCGCCGATTCCTGACATGTGGTGTGTGCGTGTGTGTTTGTCTTTATATACTTGTGCGAACCAACCCCTGATGGAACACCTTTCTTGTGTGGACATTTCATTGGTGACTTTCACCAATGCGGTTTCTGTACTATGATGGACGCTAAATCCTGACTGACAATCCTCAAACAAATCATTCTTGTGCAAGTGGTCACATAACTGCTTTGCTACAGCTTTTTCAAGGATTTTGGAAATAAATGGGCGATTGGATATTGGTCTATAATTAGCTAGGACACCTGGGTCAAGAGTAGGCTTTTTGAGTAGAGGTTTAATTACTGCAAGTTTAAAAGCCTGTGGAACATAACCTGTTAATAGAGAGAGGTTAATCAGATCTAGTATGGATGTGTTGATTAGGGGAAAGACGTCTTTGAGCAGCCTGGTCGGGATGGGGTCCAGGAGACATGTTGATGATTTAGATGAAGCAATTGTTGAGGTCAACTCAGAGAGATCTATAGGGGAGAAGTAGTCCAAGTATAAATGAGGTCTTACAGATGTTTCTAAAGCCATTGTAGTAGATGGCACATCTGCAAGGGCTGTGGCAATGGTCCGACCAATTATTTCTATAATAGTTGTGATTTTATTTGTAAAGAAGCTCATGAAGTCATTGCTGCTGAGATCTAAGGGAATGTTAAGCTCAACAGCACTGTGGCTCTTTGTCAGCCTGGCTACAGTGCTGAAAAGAAATCTGGGGTTGTTCTTATTTTCCTCAATCAGTGATGAATAAAATGCGGTTCTGGCACTATGAAGGGCTTTCTTATATGTTATTAAACTATCTTTCCAGGCTATGAAAAACTCTTCTGACTTAGTGGAGCGCCACCTCCTTTCCATTTTTCGTGATGCCTGCTTTAGGGAACGGAGCTGTGAGCTGTACCACGGGGCTAGCTGGGAAAGTAATGAAGTACATTTATTCAAGTACTGCACAATTTTGGTATCTGTACTTTGAGTATTTTCATTCTCTGCTGGTTCATACTTTGACTTCACCACATCCAGTAAAAAAGCACAATATAATCATTCTTGTAACTCATAAGGCCGCAAAACATATCGATGCTCCAACTACTTCAAAACTGTGTTGTGCAGTGGATGTCTGGTGGTAACACACACCTGTCTCCGTAGACACACACGGCTTCCTCTACACTTTCCCTTCCTGGCTCAGGTTCACCTGTTTGTTAAAAATGTATAAACCAAACATCATTTGGACTGTGTGACAAGAGCATCAACTGTTTTATGGGCTATTCATTACATGCAGAATGAACAGTCAGACGTTAGCATAAACTACCTGTGATTTATTATGCAACACACCTGGCATTTATTTTATTTCACCTATGAATAGCATTTTAAGAGTAGACTAAATGTAATATGTGCTGATGGACAGGGCTCTGGTTTACTTCATGTTCAACATCCGCGCCCGGTGACGTAGCAGCAACCTAAGCTAACGTTAGCTTGTTTATTGCAGCCAGGTGTGACCTCTGTGAACCTCATCTCTCTGAGCCTCTGTCTCGGCCTCCTCTCAGGAATGTTCTCACTTACAGGAGTCAGTAATGTCTGAGTCAGAAAGGGTCATTGGCAGTATTCAAAAACTTCATTTAGTCCCCGTCACATACCCCAGCCCATTCCTTTCTTTTTTTCACCCGCAAACACATGGATTGCTGTATGCACGCTGCAGTGCACCAGCTACCATGTGCGCATGGTGGTGTATGAGCCCTGACCACTGCACCTCAGCATGTTTTTTGCTTTGACATTGATTAGAACAACAAATTTTATTTACAATTTTATTTCCCGTTATTATCCATCTAAATTAACCCACTGACAAATGGGTTAAACCTCAAATATGTGATTTTACCAGGCCACAGCAGATCAATACTGGGGCATGTGTCCCAGTAAAAGAGGTCTGACTACACCTGTGTCACAAACCAAAGAATGTGGTTTGGTGTTTAACGACATGTTTCTAAGGTAGCATAAACCATTTTACTGGACAGACCAGAGGTTTGAAGACTGACTGCAGTATACAAAAGATGTCTCTAACATAACATTACACTCCACAGTGTTACACTACAGCACCGCTTAAACATCCTCTCCTAAGAAGCTCCTTGACAACGAGGACCTTGCTCAAGATTCCGGGAAATTAGAAAATTGATCCCCTTCATTGTGGAGACAAGGTAGGATATGATAGATAGGAGGCACTAGGTGGCGGTATGCACTTTAATAGCTGGTTTGCAATTCTCCAGAACAAAGCAGAAGAAGAGGTAGAAAAACTTGTTGGCTGCGTCCGAAACCGCATACTGTGACAGTACGTACTGAAAGAGATGAAGTACCTACTTACTGACCGTTAAAACAGTAGGTACTGTATAGTATGAAGCCTGGTAGTATGAATGAGATTCGGACGTACTCCATCCGCCATGTTGATACATCACGTGACATACGTTTTCATAGCAGCGTCTTCTTCGTTGGATAACTCCTCTCCCGGGGCATCATGGGATAGTGAAGTGTCCATCGTATGCACACTGCAAAATCCAACCGGAAGCAGTAGGTCATCCGGGTACTTTTCGCCTACTGTTTTTGGAATACTACGAATCCGGACATACTACTCGCCTCGCCTACTGCTTTTCGCCTACTATACAGTATGGTAGTAGGCGGTTTCGGACGCAGCCTGAGTGGGGCGCTAACTTGTGTCTGCGTTTACCAATCTTCATATCCATAACATTTTCTGTGTTTTTACAAACGCCAGACAGTAAAGTAACACATGAGTCTTTTTACTCACCTTTTCCTCTTCCATTAATGAAATTGCTTCTTCTGGGACTCCTCGACCACGCAAAAATTCACTTAAATCCGACATTTTCTGGGCAGCACGTAGCTCCTCTCCAGCATGACTCAAAGGCACTCACTGAACTTGGATCCCTACAGGTACCCATACTGCTGAGATTAAAGTCAGAATTCTGAGATTAAAGTTAGAATTCTGAGAATAAAGTCAGAATTCTGAGATTAATGTCAGAATTCTGAGAATAAAGTCAGAATTAAAAAAAAAAAAATTATGCAGTCGCCCTAATACTCTTCCGTACTTATGTCAGTCTGCACTGGCATTTATTTAACAATTTGTTCGCTCATGTCAGTGACGTTGTTTGTACGTCGTGGTGTACCGTCCTGTAGCAGGCCCGTGGGATAAATTAGCAAACAAGGGGTAAATTACACGTTGTCATTGACTAGCGTCGGCGTAGCTCCAGGCTAACGCTAGCTGCTAACTGACGTACAGACTCAAAGTTTAGGAGCTATGTTCTCAGTCATTGTTAAAGCAGCTTTCACAAAATGTAAGTAATGTGATAACTGTCTGGTTTGTCATGTCATTAAGAAAAATACAGTGTTGTAAATTCAATGTGCACATGATGTTATACAAATGACTGTCACTAATGTCAGCTTGTGCTAGTTTGTATATTTATATAACTGAGGGAAACCAAAGCTTTAGCTTGCGATGTAGGCGAAAGGTCACATACGAGGCAGCCATTGTTGTGTAACGTTATATCTGTTGGGCTCAAATATTTGTCAGACTTTACACAAGAGCAGCAACTAATATGATAAATAGTGTGCATGAACAATTAGAATGCCAATTATCTTCTTTGTTAACCAATTAATGGTTTAGTCGGATGGCATTAAATTGAACAACAGAACCACAATCTAAAAATATTTATCACCAAAACAAAGTAGAAAATCCTGCAACTGAGAAGCTGGAATTGGGACATACTTGGTAACTTTGCTTTAAATTTACACAAGTCAATAACTAAAATACCATAGAGCTGCAACAATTTGTCAGATGGCAGAAAATATGTTAGCAACTGTTTTGTAATTAAATAGTCATTTGAGTAATTATTTTAAGCAAAGTGAAAAATGTCTGTTTTTTCTCAAATGTGAGGATTTGATGCTTTTCTTTGTCACACAGGATTATAAATCATCTGTTGGCCATATAACACATAAAGATGTCTGCTTGGGCTGTGGTACATTTTAGAGCCAAAATAGTAATTGAAAGAATCATTTGCAGATTCAATGACAATAAAAATTATTGTTAGTTGCAGCCCCCAAATTGTTGCCGGTTCATTTTATGTGAAATCCACAAATTGAGTTTTATATATATTTTTGAAGATTTTTAAATATAAATGTAGTAACACGAGTGAATAAAAGGCCTGAATAATGGCTGTACCAAATTCTAATCCAAAGCCAAAGCAGAGGTTTAGTTTACTTTATTTTTCTGTTTTTATTGTAGTACAGAGGAAAGTACCCTGGGTTAGAGCTACAAACAGTGATTATTTTCATTATTGATCTGTTATTATTCCTTTGATTAACTGATTTATTTTTTAATCCCAAACCAGTGAAACCCACCCACCTTGTGTTTTTAGGATTTTTTTCCACATCCAACTAATAGTTCAATAACTCAGTGAGAGTCAAAGTTAATCATCAAATCTTCGTAATCTGTATCAGATTATTTAGAATTTTAGTTGTTATTATTATTATTGTTGTTGTTGTTTGACATCCTGTTGTTGGAGTTTTTTCCTGGACACGCTCATTGTGGTGTTATTATTGCATCTTTCTTCTCAGACGGAGGTTTGCAGCTGCCCAGTCGCACGGTGCTCAGGGCCATGTCGTCTTCTGGCAACCCCACCCCTCTTTACACCACCTTGGCCATCAGTCACCCTGCAGAGTCCATCACACACGTGGAACTTCACCGCCCCGACAAGCGCAACAGCATGAACAAAGCTTTCTCGAGGCAGGAACCTGTTTCAGTTCATCCACAGCAGCTGCAGCACAAACACATGATTATTGTTGTTACGTTACATCCAGCACTGACTCTGTGTTTGTTGAAAGAGACACTCAAGTTAAATAGTTATAAACAACTGCTCTGTGTTCAGGCTGGATGTCGGCACTGACTTGAGTTCAGTTCAGAAAGTTACGTCAGATAAATCACCATATGTCATCAATGTGAATGAATTTTTGTTCAATCAATATTGGATCATTAAAAATGTGATTATTATTTTTTACCCACTGCTCATTAAGACTGTCTGAGAGGTGGTCTAGTGGTTGTATCACAAAGGTATTGATAATTTACACAGCGCTAACTTAAAAGTGCACTATCGTGTTGTATGTATAAAGATATTAAATAACTAGAATAACAGTAGTGGCTGTGTTGAACTGTCGGCATGTTTTTCTCCCAGCGAGATGGTGGACTGCTTTAACGCGATCACTGGAGACCCAGACTGCAGAGTGGTGGTGGTTTCTGGAGCAGGAAAGATCTTCACCTCCGGTGGGTATCACCACGGTAACATTTGTAAAGGCACTGCTTTGATAGAGGAGCCTGATTTATGCTCTGCCTTGTGTTACTGTTCAGGAATCGACCTGATGGACTTGGCCGGTGACATCCTGCAGCCAGAGGGCGAAGACACAGCCAGAATTTCCTGGAACTTGAGAAGAATCATCACCAAGTATCAGGAAACGTTCTCCGTCATAGAGAAGGTCAGACCTGAAGAGTGCTGTGTTCATCACACTAATTATAAATAGGACTGTAACAAACAATCATTTTTTATTAGAAAAAGCCTTTTAGCCTTTTATTATCAACTATCCACTTGAGTGGCTGTCTACTCACAAATGAGGGCAGATTTTATTCCCTTGGTTTGTCAAGGTGGGTTGGACGTCCTGTTCCGCCTTCCTGTGGCCTGCAGCCAGAACCCTCTCAGTCCATGTCAGACTTTTCATACCCAAACTGCATCCATACGACAGAAGTAACCCCTCTCTTAGGTTCAAGCTCCTTGTTTTGTTACCTGGTCGGAGTTTCAGAAAAACTCCATTCTGTCTCACGATGACTCTCCTCCATGTTTGTGTTGCCTTCCTCATCTGTGCCATAAGGAGTGTGCTTTGCAACACAACAAAATAAATGATAATCATGAGCATAACATGAAGCGATATGCTTTTCTGTCATCACACGATATGTCACAGCCCTACCTATTAGTATATTTATGTGCTTGTGATCGATGAGTCAGCTAATGGCTTCAGCTGTAATCGTGTCACACCAGTCACTGACTTGGTGATGCATGTGGGCTCCAATGACGGCATCGGGTGGTCCCCGCATTTTCCTTTTAAACGATTATTTTCTTCTTTTAGTGTCCAAAGCCTGTTGTGGTGGCTGTTCACGGAGCCTGTATTGGAGCAGGTGAGATCGTCACCCACACATTGTTATAGTGAAACCATAAGTTCAGACTTTGGTTTACAAGTCAGTGTCACTTCTTTTACACTCTTATTCAGAATAACATGAGGAGACTATGATGACGACAGGACATGTAACCATGCCCTTTGTGTTGTTGTAAGAAAGACTTCATCAGACATTAACTGCGTCTCTTCTGATTGGCAGCAGAAACATCCCAGCATTACCTTTCACTTAATGTGCATGATAAATTTAGAACAGTTTGTTCGCTGTTGTCAAAAAAAGCCAGAGGACGCTCAGTAAAGGTGTTGAAATGCTCAGCTACCTGCTGTTGCAGAGAATGAACTGATGGCACTGGATAACGAAGCAGAGACGTGAAAAGGTTCAGTGAGTTTACACACTGTCCTTTTCACTGTGAATGTTGTTGCAGGTGTCGACTTGATCACAGCCTGCGACATTCGGCTGTGTACCCAGGACGCCTGGTTCCAGGTGAAGGTACGTAGAGTAAGCTTCATAGTTTGGACATGTGAAGAAAATGGGAATAATTTATTAAATGAATGAAAGTAAAAGACAAAGCGTCATGTTCTATTCTGATTAATGACCAATACCTGCTATTGATGTGTTCAGTTATAATTTGGACTTGTCTGCCAACCCGTTTCTGGGCTTCATATAAACTAAATAATAAGTGAATGAAAACGGTACCATCACATTCATCTTCATGCACAGTGAAATAAAGGACATATAGCATTTTAATTTAACAAGCATAAACGGTTAATATATAAGAAAGACCTGAATAGACCGGGGTATCATAGACTCCTAGCTGTGGCGGCACAGTGGTTAGCAAGAAGGTTCCAGGCTCGAGCCCAGGTCGACCCGGGGCCTTTTTGTGTGGAGTTTGCATGTGGTTTGTCTACATGTCGGCCCTGTGATAGACTAGCGACCTGTCCAGGGTGGACCCTGCCTCTCGCCCAATGTCAGCTGGGAATGGCTCCAGCATCCCCACAACCCTGTTCAGTGATATGCAATAAAGAGAATGAATGAATGGACTCTTAGCTGTGTTAGAGGACACAGGTGAATCTTCTGATACTCTCTGATAGACGCTGCCTCAGTGTCTCTTTGTGTTGGACTTGACAGGAAGTGGACATTGGACTCGCAGCAGACGTCGGGACTCTCCAGAGGCTTCCTAAAGTCTTCGGCAGCCGCAGGTAGACTGGCTGCTTCAGACCACCACAGGCTGACAGTGAGGTTACACTTCCTGCTTAGTTCTGCAGGCTGTTTAGGAACACGTGATGTGATGTGCAAAGTATTTAAAGTTTCCCAAAACGGAATATGAAGTTCAGACGATAGTGTAGACATGGTAAAGGTTTTAAGGCACTAAGAGTCGGGGTGCTTTCAAAAATGATGCCATTAATTTGATCAACTATCATATAAAGTGCAGCAGAATAAAAAAAACAACCCTAAATCAGATTAATATTTGGTGTGACCTCCTATTTGCCACAATGGGTTTAATGATGGAGAATGTGAACATCTACAGTGCCTAAAACCTTTCCACAGTTCTGTACAGGCTCCACTGGTAACAGTCACACACCAGAGCAGCTGCCCAGCTGGTTCCTGGTTCAAACCCTCTGAACCAGGAAATAAAGACAAAATTGTTTAGGAAAAGAAACGACACAAACAGTTTACATGGCATTTCTCAGACCTGATGGCAAGATAACAGACAGAAGTAAGATATAAACCGGGAGTTTCCTTGTTAATGTTCTGTGTTAAACCCTTTCTGGATGTAATAGGTTCTTGTTCTGATGTGAGCGACTCCCATTTTCTCCAGCCTGGTGAATGAGTTGGCACTGACCGCTAGGAAGATGTATTCAGACGAGGCCAAGAGCAGCGGACTGGTCAGGTAAAGATTTTGCTGTATTAAAACTGCAGTTACTATTCATTTTGTCAGTGTCAGTCAAACAGTGACCAGCTGTGGTGGGGAGCTTCATTAGATCCTAACGGTTATGCAGATCATCTAAATGAATCCCAGTGAAGTACAGGTACTGTAGTTCACCTCTATGTATAACAGTGTAGGTGAACAACAGCACAAACTGAACATGACCACCTGCATGAAGGGAGATTTACTGCAGGACTGTGGGATTAGACTGACTCAGCCTGAGCCACGTGCACCAGGTAACGTGGCAGCTTGTGACCACAGAACCAGAGGAAAGGTCTGATACCAGTAAAACAAAACTGATGATCTAAATCCTACAACAAATCAGGATTCATAATGTAGAAACTGAGCTTTATAATAGATCACAAGCTCATAAATCATGTTAAATCTAAAGTGCTAGTCTACTGCAGTACCGCCTAAAACTAAGATTTAAAAAAATGCAACGCTGTATTTAAAAGCTGTTCTCAATCAAGGAAATTGTATATGAATTAAAAAGGAAAACGGTCATTCCCTCCTCAGATGAATGTGTGTATTATACATGAATATATAGTGTAAAGCACGTTTCTGATCAAACTGCGTTCTGACTATGGAACACGATCATGACTGTAGATCTGTCAGCAGTATGAAGAAGCTAGTCTGTCGTGATGTCTAACATGTTTAAATGCTCTGCACTTTTTTGCTCCAGCCGAGTGTTTGCAGACAAGGAGGCCATGATGGCCGGAGCTCTGGAGATGGCCGGGGAGATTGCTGGTCGTAGCCCCGTCGCTGTGCAGGGCACCAAAGTCAACCTGATCTACTCCCGAGACCACGGTGTGGCAGAGGGACTGGACTACATGGTAAGAACATCATCCACCTTGAAAAAATTAAATAAAATTCTCCCACCCCGTGAAGTTGCTGACTGAACACCATCACTACCTTGTTCGTCCTGACCAGGCCACGTGGAACATGAGCATGCTTCAGACTCAGGATGTGATAAAATCAGCACAGGCCGCCATGGAGAAGAAGAGTCCCAAGACTGTAGCTTATTCCAAACTCTAACTGTGACTGAGGTAAAGTTCAGATTAGCTCAAACGCTGCTGTTTTATTCCTCCATTGTGGCCTTTTGTGTGGAAGGGAACATGTTTCTGTTTGTCTAGACTGAGACTGTGATAATAGAACTAAAAGTGAGGCTTTAATTCCTGTTCAACTATTGTGAGCAGATGGGACTGGAAGACTATGATTTACTGTCTCAGAATCCAGATTGTGGCTACGAAGGGAATACAGATACAAGGACAATATCCAATTATGATAGTAAATCATAATTACAAGAAAAGATCCCTTTTTTTTTCCCTTTGGTGAATGCAATGCCCTTCTGTAGTTTGTCCATTACTGTTTGAGCAGTTTTTGATAATAGGATGCTATATGCTGCATCGACACGAAACTATTAAAAAAAAAAAAATTAGGTTAAGAACAGACAGAGACCAAGCCAACAGTTGCTTCACCTCCATGGGAACAAGAAAGTGGCTAACTAGCATGTGTGTTCTGTGCCTGTGTGAGTGGCGACAACGCTCCACACCAGCAGGTGGCAGTACTCTGTATTAGTCTTTCAAAAAAAGGAAAGGACGACGAACTAGGACTGCAGATCTCATACTGCTGACAACCCCAAAGCTGTTTGCAACTCCTTAGACACTTGATTAGTAACAGGTCATGAATGATGATGAGGCTATGCAGCAGTCTGCCTTCGTTGCCACTAGTTCCTTGATGTTGGCTTGGTATGTCAGTCCTAGGATCAGCAATAAATGACTGTTTTATATTCCCCTGCAGCAACGTGCACTTGGCATGAGCTGAATCTGAACTGACCTCACTCGTCCCTGTGTGAACTCTGCTTTTGTGGATTTGTTCTGGGTTCATTGCTGTAACAGCTGGTTTTATATGACTGTAAATGACTTCATGAATCTTATTAAACTCAATTGAAAAGTTAGCAGAGTTGAACCTATGACTGCATATTTGTTAAAAAAACAGGAAGTGATTCAAATAACTTAAATGCTTTATTGATAAAACAAAGTAAAACTAGAACACATTCAAACGTCAGTCACCGGCGAGACTGCTGGGCACGAAGCTTCTGTAAGGTTTTCTGTGAAGAGAACAATATTCCTGTATCAGCTCAAACTTGGTTCAGGCAGTTAGTACAACAGTTTATGCAGTTCTCTAATCAGCGGCACTATAATTAAAAACATTTAACCTTGTGGAACTCTCTAGCCTTCAGTCTGTTGTTTGCATAAGCTTCGTGTCTGCTCTTGATCGCTTTCTGCTGCTTCACCTCCTCCAGTTGCTCATACAGTCTGCAGACAGCGTATCACACCACAAGTGTAAGAAACATATCTGTGGCTGAGGCATTGTTTGGAAATGAAAGCAACGTGTTTCAGTGCGTAGTATTAAGCTTCTCACAGTTCACTGCACAATTACATTAACATTAGGGATACACCGATGCCAGCATCACCTAGTACTGTACTCGTAAAAGTTGTCCAATACTACGCAACAATGGCAATAAAACGTTAACCTCACGCTGGCGGAGTCAGTCATTAGGCAGCAGAGGAGAAATTTCAGCGGTCCAGGGATCTTTTAAGATAAGTGACGACAACAAAAGTAAAGCCAAAGTCTTTGTATCAAGTACTCCAATGTACTGGGAAAAAAAAGGTAGTACTGGTGCATCCCTGTTTAACACAACTACTCCTTGACTTTGGAAGCATCATGGATTTATTGAACTAGAACTTTAAATATGATTCAACTGAAAAAGAAATCAAGTATTTCATCCACCCAATTGTGACCGTTCAGAGGAAACTACTTACTCGACATTTATTTTACAAATAAAACTTTGCTACCTCAGGTTAATATTGCCTGTCACAACTAAAGGATCGCTGGGCTCACAGCCGCATTGATCTCTCTCGCTTAATCATCTCTCATTTTATCGTGTTCATGATGATTAGCTTAAACTGGCTGTGGACCACAGACTGCACGCAAAGCTTAAATAATCACTTCTCTAAGTTTATACTCATTTAGCAGGTCTCTGGATAAACTGCTCTTAGTAATTTTCTCTTCTTACCGGTGGAAGTTTTATTGCATGTGCAGTTATGAGCTCAAGTGTTACAAGTAATCTTCAACTTCACCTGGTGCAAGCAAAAAAAATGCTGAGATGGGGAAGACAAAACGGAGTGCAGCACAATAATCGTTTTATCTTGGTTATTTCGATTTCAAAATCATAATAAAAAAACCATTTGATTAGTCGCCCAGCCCTACAGTGAGGTAGGTTCAAAGACGGTACCTCCGAGTTCTCTGGTGCATCTTGGAAACTTCCCGTTTCCTTTGCTCTGTTGTGTAAATCTTCATCTCGTCCACCTTCTTCTGCCTGGAATCACTCACTGGGGAAAAACAGGACAATGGAAGTTTCATTATTAAAGTCGACAGTAAGAATATTTTCAAACTGATTCGGTTCACTAAGAGTCATCACCTGTGCAGATACTCATGTTGGTACAAAGTACATGTTGAAGCCTACAGACGTCCAGAATAAAAACCAAATGCTGACAGTATGTTTACCTAACAAAAGCTCTACCATGTGGCCTGTATAGTTTTTGGCCACCCATGATACAAATGTAGCGCTCGTGCTATTTTAAACCATTTGAATTGCAGTGTCAAAAGGAAGGTGGGGCTTCTGTTTGATGAAGGCAGGTCCCTCACCAGGTTGCTGCTGTTCAGCTGGTGCTTCCTTTGACTTGTCCTTAGTCTTATGCTGAGGTCCCAACTTAGTCTTTGCCTCACAGGTGAGTGGCTGAGATTCCCCAGCTTTAGACTGCTCTCTGGCTTCAGACCCAGCCTGGATGTCAGGCTGAACCTTGGCCAGAGCCGCTTTGGCTTTGATTTCTTCTACCCTGCGAGAAGATCTCTGGAGCAGAGCTGTGCGTTTCTGCTGGCAGACCTCCTGCAGCTCTTGGCTGGGACCCCACTGGACCTCCAGGAACCATACTGAGTCCACCAGTGGAGGCAATGAAGAAAAGAAATTGACTATGTATTTTCGGTATTCCTCCTTTCTACATTCATATTTAAATCAGAAGTTGTTTACACAGCATATTTCAGTTGGATACATTAAGATCGTGATCGTGACTTTTACCTGGATCCATCTGGTTCTTTTCTTCTGCCATCTTCTCCGGCAACGATGTGAACTGTGAGCCCTGTAGTAGACAACGTTTTATGTTCAGAGATCAGAGAGACATGTCAACAACACATACAGACAGTCACAGTACTACACAGACTAGATCTAGATACCTCTGTCTGGCAGCTGATCTGTCCTTCCTCCCTCACCACATCTGGATGTTCGTCTCCCCACATTCCATCTTCCTCAGCGATGGCCGTGTCTTGGTCCTGCAGCGTGGTGTCTGTCAGGCTCACTAATGTTATCTCGGACTGCTCCAGGATCCCCTTCTCACTGGCCACTTCCTGATTTCCAGGGAGAGAGGACAAGTACACAACTCAGCCAGTGACGACCTGCAGCTGTAGCATGATGACACAGTCCATGTCTGAAAGCTGATGGTTCTTCTAATGAGAACAATCTGAACAAGAAAACATAATCGTACCGTTATCTTATCAGAAACGTGACCATCACTGTTCAGGTTTGAACCCTGCTCAGACTTATGTTCTTCAGCATTGAGGTCACTGAATGGGGCTGGATCTCCAGGCCTTTCAGAGATGCAGTCTCTGTCTGCTCCCCGTCCCTCTGGCTGAGGCACGCACAGAGCAGGTGCAGCATCACACATGGTTAAATCCAACGGACACAACACCGTCTGATCCATATCTGTCCTCGTGATGGGAGACACCAAGATGGCAGAGTCAAGGGGATGGCACTGGGAGGTGATGAGGTGGGAGAAGGATTCATGTAAAGTTGTCAGATGGCCAGACTGCTGCTCTGATCGAAGGTGCTCAGGTGGTGATTCAGAGCCATCAGTGTGGAACTCAGACCCTTCAGAAGGTACTGAAACATTGAACGGCCCACTGGCTGGCTGTCCCTCCGGAGAGTTGGGCACTTCATGTTCAGGCAGGTGAAAGGTCATGGAGGGCTCTGCTGTGTCATTGTGGGTGACCTCAGCCAGCAGTGGGTGGAATGAATGAAAAACTGGAAATAGCAGTGGACATGAAAATAGGTAAGTAAAATCATGTGACTTCTAGTCTACTTTAAATTCCCGAAATGAAACTCGCCCTAACCTACAAACTGAGACTACAGATGTACAGACGGGCGACAAACGAGAAGATGACCCAGCACAGAGTCCCAGTGAGGTACTGGGCCACCACGTGCCACCAGAACAGCTCCACCTTGACTCTCCAAAACTCTGAACCCTCCTGGAGGGATGAACACCTTCCAACAGATGTTCCCTCATGTGGTGTTTAGATGATGGTGGTGGAGACGCTGTCCAACAGTGAAGACGCACTGAAAGCGGTTAAGTTGCACACCATCGCCTCTGCCATTTGGCGCCCATCACTATGGGCGTGTCGACATAGGATCAAACATGTGACAACGTTCTTTTATTTAACGGTATATGTCTCTATGCCGTCCTGTTAGCACGTCTCTGCTAGCTCTGTGCAGTGCATTGCTTTATCTGACAGTTTCTACAAGCTGCATTTATCTTCTCTTTGTCAGTGCGATCTAGAAGGCAGGGGGCACAGGAGGGACTAAACTATTCTTCTCTCACCCAGGGACTGTTTGCCATTCAAACGAGCACTTCAGTTTTATACTGCGTTACATCTGGGCGAGTTTCGCCTTCATTTACATATCGAATTCTTGTTTTAACTTCTGACACCTCCCCTTGGTCACACAAACTGACTATTCTCCCTCTGGTTCAACAGTCAGAAGGTCTTTGTGTCATTGTGGGATTCACTAATTGCTTGAATATTCTACACCTCACCTTCGGTCCTCTCAGAGCCCAGGTCCATTGGCCTGCTTTGGTTCTGCAGCTCCTGTGGTTGAGGATTCACACCTGGAACAAACGCCCTGTGTGACGAGGCTGCAGGAGGCAGCACTGGGCCTGATGGCACAAGAGCCTCGGCTGAGACACCGACACAGGTTCCTTCACCTACAAACACACAAGTCGATAAACTCACTGCCTTTTTTAACCACTTTGAGAAAATGGATGAGCATGCTTCACGATAGAAAGAGGCCTGCAACAAAGTCCATGTGATTAATTCATTTCTAATTATCAATCAGGAGTTCAACAATAAAACAGTGTAAAAAAGACAAATGGCTGCCAGTAAATTATTCAAGCTAACCAGGAGAAGGTTGGGCTCCGACCTTACTGCACACAACACTGCTTGTACCTGAGTTTGCACTGTGATCATCCAGCTCCCCGACCAGTGGCCTCATCTGGTCGTCCTCCTGACCTCCTTCCATCCATGTGCTCGACCGCTCCAACGCTGTCTGACCCAGCAGCTGACCTGTATAAAATTCCTGGCCCCCACTCAGCCAATGAGAGCTGGACTGGTGGGAGAGTCGACCAATCATCCGACTCAGAGTGGAATCCCATCCTGGCAGCTGACCAATCACGGATGAGTGAGCATATGGGTGACCGACCAGTTGCTCCATGGCCGAGTCCCCTTGGTCACCGATGAGACAGGATGACTCGTCTGCCATCTGGCCAATCAGAGGTCTGAATGAGTTTTGCTCTGAGTCCTCGCCTGTAACACGCTCCAGGGTTGGATCGACCATGTTGTTCTGTTCCTGGAGCAGATACAAAACATCAGGTGGATGCTGTGCTTTTACAGAAAACATTTATTACTGATTCCATTTCTAATATGAGCTGAAAGTCTGAAATAAAATGGAAAACACGAGCAGAGAAGAAAACCAGTTTAGAGCTGCCATCTGCCACTGACCAGGAGACTCCTTTGTGTCCGTGCTGCGTCCGAGGGAGGAGACCGATGACCCACAGAGCTGTCACACCCCGGCCTCCTCTCTGAGGCCTGGACCAAAGACTGCTGTGAGACTGGAGAGCCAGGTTTCAGCACACACGAGCCTTCAGTATCTGCAGATCAGCAAAGAGACTGTGCACTAACATGATACAACCTTGATGTATAACGTACTGACTTGTGTGCAGTCAGCGAGTTTGGCCAGTTTAAAGTGAAAATGATTGCTAATCAATTATGAATTTCATCTTTACATTTCTGTTCTACATCAGAAATATTTTTGTATTAAAACCCAGCAACATATAGGGGTCATTCATATTGATGACCAAACCTACAGAGAATGATCAGCTGATTTGCAGCTCTCCTTGGCTTTACACAGCTTTATGTACGGTTTAACAGTCCGGCTCACACCTGGACTTCTGATTGACTCACTGCTGCCACAGTCTCTTTGTCAGCTGCAGCAGGAAGCAGCGGTTTTCAGAGAAGACGCTCTAAAAAGCTGGTGATAATCATGGAGCATTTAGCAGCTAAGAGCCGGATACAGAGCTAAAATAGTTATTTAATATTGGACTTAATGCCACGAGGGAGACTGAAACAACTCCAGCTGAATGCTGATGAGTTGTTCTATAACTGACGTGCAAATAAACTACTACAAACGTTTCCTCCAGAAATCTTTTGAGACTTTCCAAAACAGACGAACTCACCTCCTCACACAGCAGTTTGACAGGTGTGTTACTTAGCATGTTACCATTTTCAGATATGGTCAGAGGACATCTCGCACAAACACACCCCGGGTCTATCAGTGAAGCTCACATACTAAGGTGTTTGACAGTAGTGCAGCAAACTAACTCTGAAGACAGAGGCTGTATTCTTGTAGTAACTGTGTGCAGTATACCTGTGGTTCTCCCAGAAGTGCTCAGGCAGATGCTGAGCTCCCTCCTGTATCTGTCTATAATGTGCTGGATGCTGCTGTCATTAAACAGAGCTCCGGCAAGACAGGCAGCAGCCGAGCAGTCCTCAGTACAGGAGCCTTGACTGGAAGGAGTGAAGTCGGGTAAAACCGTCTCTCTTCTTTGTTCCTCACGGTGGATGGTGGGTGGGGATTTATCTAATGAAGAACGGGCAGAACAAAAACAGGAAGAACAGCACATTTAGTCTAGAAACCAAGTTAGAAACACTACAAGCATGTTGTCTGGTGTCTACAGACAGTGTGGGTCCTGTGTACAGTATGTAACCCTAACCTTAAAGATGGACAGACATAACAAACCCCGCTCATGGACAGCAGCACCTCACAGGTCTGCCTACAGCGCTGAAGCACAGCATCAGGTTCTCTACTCCGTAACGTAGAACCAACCAACTCATGTTGATAAGGGCAGGTCAATACTTAAAGCTTCACAGGTCGGAAAAAAATTGAAAACAAGAACAAAGTGCCACGTGCTACGAGAGACAGTCATGCTGTTCCTCACCAGGGTTCTGGTCAGGATCGGTGGTGATGTAGCTGCCGGTGGAGATGGTGGTGGATGAGAAGCTGTCGGAATCCGCAAGCCTACGTAGAGACTGACACACAAACCCCCACAGGCACAAAGTAAAAGTGTTAAGGACCATTACTGGCTTAATGTTCATCCATCATACTTTGGTTCATATTTTGGTTTATTTGCCTTTTAAAGTTTCAGCATTTAAGTTACTCATAATGAAGTATTTTCTCCATTTGTAGTGAAATGATGTTCAGACTTGTATTTGGTTTACGACGTGTACAAGCACAAACTCACTGAGCTCAGTTCAAGTGTAGAAACCATCATGAAATGTATTTTAATTAAATACAATTCAGGTCAAATCGTTTTACATCATTGCTCAGTACACAGACCCCAAAACACACCCAGACATAACACACACACACACACATACACACCCTCCCACCCACACACACACACACACACACACACACACCTCTCCCTCAAAACAACAACAAGCTAACTAATAAAGCTCCTCGAGTCCAGTATAATCACGGGCTGAGGCAGGCTTCACCCCGGCGCTCAGATTTGGCTACTTTTCATCACTGATCCACAGCATGTGAACCTCAGAGGGTACCACAGTCTGACAACATGGCACCGATATGCAGAGAAAGGCGTCATTTCAGACTCTAAAATTCAAAAAGCGCCGTAGTTTTGTTGATACTGGTGATCTCTGTAGAGAATGCTGCTACAGTAGGGTCAGTGCAGGAGCATTACTCCAAATGCACAGGACCAAAACGTAACAGATGCTCTTTCACTGCATGCTAAACAAAACCAGTCCTCCCCTGGTAACTTTCTAATCAGCCTTACAAAGGAAGGAAAGAGTCAGTACAAAGTCTGGAACATCTTTAGTTTACCTCTGTCCAGGATCTGTGGCTTGTGACTGCACCACCAGAGTAGTCGGCTCCTCTCCCCGAGTCAGAGGAAAGTGGTGAATCTGGAAAACAGTGTTCCAGCAAGTGGAAAGATGTTCATCTTCACCCTGTTGTTGTTGTTTTAATCAGATATTACCATTTTACCCCCAGTCTGCAGCCTTTAGCTGCTCACTCTCCACCTCTACATACCAGGCTCGGAGGATTCTGGAGATGTCCCTGCTCCCATCAGCAGCCGCTCTCTCCAGATGAGATGGTTGGACGTCCCTGAGCCAGATTCCTCCTGTGGATCCCTGTCTACAGTGTGTGAAGGAACCGCCACGCTATCCTCCAGGCCTGGAGAAAGGAAACAACAACAATCCGGTCAGCTGCCATTCCTTTCTGTAATCTGACATGATAATCCCTAAACCCCAGACAGCAGCCTTTTAATGATAATGTCAGTTATTCATGTGCTCTGGGGTTGAGCTGACCTGTGACTTGGCTTGTGTCGATGGGCGTCTCCACCTCTTGAATAGCACTGAGCTCATGCTGTTCACACATCATGCCCATGATTCCTGGCCTGATGCGAGTCAGTGGGGGATTCGCTGTTTGAGGAGGAGAGAGAAGTCCTGAGGGGAGGACTGATGCTGAGAAAGGTCCAGCAGAAACCCTGCTCTGGGTAACTGTATCTAAACAGAACAAAAGAGCAGCAGTGTTACATGTGACTTTGAATGTATGTCATTCAGAAGTACAGGGCTGAGTGTTGAAAACAAGCTAATGTTTTAGGAGATGGAGCTTAATGGCAAATGTGTAAACCATCCAGTGAATATAAAGAATGAGTAGTTAACAAAAAGGACAAATGGGAAACAAAAGGGTAAAGACATGAAACAGAAATCAAAAAGTGGACAAAAGCTCTGCAATCTAACACGTCTGTTACCTTTCTCACCACTGCTAGATGGCGGCTGTTGACGGGCGCCATCTGCCTCCTGAGGGTCTTCTAGATGCGATAACGTTCCTCCATTAGACTCTTCTATAGCTCTGAGCAGTGATGCAAGTAGTTTGAGGCGACTGATGCTCTCTGAACCCATCGCTTCACCTGCAGCCTCTGGAACTGGCTGTGTGGAGAAATACACCAGGGAAGTTATTTTTCAGTACACTGTAGCTTTGGTGCTGTACATTTCACCAGAGTTGGTCCTCACAATGTCAGAGGCTCAAACATTTCAGCTGAGAGGGGAGAGTTCCACTTAGTACTTCATGGCATGCTGCTCTCTTGGGTTTAGATTAGAATTGTGCAGAAGCAAATGCGATTTGTCCTGGAACGTTGCCAGCAAAGCAGTAACACTTCTGTCACTCACTTGTGTATCAGTAAGAATCAGAGCCTGTAGCGTCTCCTTTTGTTGCCTCATCTGCTGCATCTCCACTTCTCGTCTCTGACGCTGCTCTTCTTGCTGCCTTTGTCGCAGTGTCACTTCCTCCCTCTGCTCCAGCACCCGTCTCTGGACTTCCTGCAGCTCTCGTCTCTGCTCCTCCATGTCGTCCTCTCTGGAGCTCAGGGACCCTGTCTGCAGATCGCCATGCAGCAAGGTCCTAGGCTTAGCACCCGCATGTTCTGGAGCCATATGTGCGCCACTTGTGATGTTTGGGCTCATGGCTCGGACGGGCTCAGAGGCAGACTGGAGTGAGACGCTGGATGACTGATGTGTTGTGGATGGTCTATAAGGCAGGGGCGCCGTGGTGACCGAAGAGGGCCTCACTCTCTCTGGAAGGTGCCCGGTTACTCTCTCCATGATGTTGTCAGTCAGCCAGGCAGTGACATCCCGTCTCTGGTTACCATTAGAAATAGATTCCACTTCATCCGGCAGCAACTCGGATCCTACTCTCAGACTAGAGCCAGGAACATGGAGAGATGAAGCCAACATGTCAGAGTTTCTGGTGGGAACCTCCACAGAGGTTTGTGGTTTAGCATGGATGTAATCAGGCACTGCAGGAGCAGTAGAGAGTGTAACAGACTGGGTTTTGTGCAGAGGTGGCTGACTGAGGCCTGGCGCCACCACAGCAGGCAGCAGTGATGTGGACTTCGTGTTGAAACGAATTCGTAGTGCACGTTGGTATTCCTCCAGGCGCTGGCGGGCTACTTCCACTGACCTCTTGTGAACTCTAAAAGAAAAGATGGTCATATGATTAACAAGTGTAGTCAAGTTATTTACACTGCAGATATCAGATGTTTGAGGCTTCACAAGCTGCAGCATCTCCTCTAAAACTGCTGTCTCTAAGGAATCTGTGACAAATATAACAGAGGTAAGAGTTACACAACCATTGTGTCACCTACTGAGATGGTGGCCCAAGAGAATGGCTAATGACAAAAAGCAGTTCAGGCTTTAACACACCTGTTTTGTTCCAGCAGGCGTAGTTGGTATTCTCTGATCCTCCTGCTGTGGTCGTCTTCAGCTGCAGGAGGCACCAGCTGTGGAGTGCAGATGTGCAGGGAACAAGTATTTATCACAGAAGTCAAAACCCGTAAACATGTCGGTTAATAGTAATAACAAAGCTGAATAATTTAAAAAAGGAAGTGCCTAAGCCACCTGCAAACCAAGAAGGAACCCTGCATATTAATAGATCAGAAAGAAAAGGACAAGTGACAAAGTGAGCCTACCTCAGTGGCTGGACCAGGCGTGACAGAGGTGACTTCCAGATCACGGACAGGCACTCCTAGCTGGTTAACAGGGACTTCCTGTGTCACAGCAGTCTTCAGATGTTCTCTCTCCTGCTGAGCTTCAAGCAGCATCTGCTCCAGTTTGGCCTTCTGCTCGTCCAGCTCCTGGAGCAAGACCATCTGCTGCTGCTTCTCCTTCTCGAGTTCCTTTTCCTGCAAATAAAGAAAGGTTTACAAACAGGGACCTGCCAAGCTGCAGGCGTCCACACATTACCTATAAGGTTGATCATAAACCCAGCTTTCAGCTAAGCTTCTACACTGACACTGCACTGTGGAGTGGAGAAAAAACCTTTGAGGCATCAGTTGTTTTTAAGATAACACAAGCTGATACTTTGTGGTTTGCCTAAAAAGTGAGAGTTCATAGTAAAAACTGTCTAGTTCCTGAACAGGTGCAATCAGGCACTCGGTGTTCACCCTTCCAGCCATCCCAGAGTGAGGCCCGTGTTCCTCTGCTGGGTGTACACACAACATCCACCTGCCCACATTACGCTCAACTCCACTTTGCTTTTGTTTTTTTGTTTTTTTTAAGAAAACATTTCCAGTGTTTTGTCTCCAAAGCAGGAAATGAAGCTAAGGTCTACTGTTGTTTCATTGTAATGTAGAAGGAGATGTGGAGTCATGAGGACCTGCCCAGCACACTCCTGCTCTAGACAGAAGCTGGACTAATGAAGTAAAGAGGAACACCTGGAGCCAATGACTATGACCAATCACCAAACACACTTGAAGCTATTGGGTAACAATAGAACCAGGCTTCTGGTGCTTTGAAAGCTTACACAGTGACTATAGAGTGAGAGGATTTGTTGAAGACACAGTGTCCAGTGGACCAGTTATGTTAGAATGAACAGGTTTAGCTGGGTGCTGGTGCCTGAGTGTGACATAAAGCAGTCTGCTTGTTCTATTTCTCTGCTTTCATTCAATGTGATAAAAGGAATCAGCATGTACCCTCTTCTTTTGTTCTTCTTCAAATTCTTGGATTCTGTTGGGAAGTACACCGGGAAGGAGAGGATCTGCAGATGGGTGCTCTGTCATTCCCAAGGCTGCTCGAATTAATTACAGGAAAAACAAAATGATTATCTCACAACAGCTAAACAACTAGGCTTCTTATTCAGGTGCATAAATGTACATAATTGAGCTCAAACATGAGACAATGAACTGACCACAGGAAACACAGATGTCATATAACTTAGCAATCAAACTGCATCACTTTGACCATAAGGTTTTTTTTAAGAGATTAAATGATTAAACAATGTGATCAATTATTTTAGCAATGAGAATAATTTAGAACAGAAATGGGGCCAAAATTATGTCAAAATCAAAGCAATGGGCAAAAACATCTCCAGATGTTGTAATATCGAAATAAGACCTTTATCACATTGTGTTCGTCCTTCTACACTCATTCTCTTACAGCTGAGGACGTACCTGGTGGGGAGCGTGCAGGCTGAAGGAGCCTGGTAGGAGGCGGTCTGTCCCTCTCCTCGCTGGTCAACGAGCCGGTGTCAATGGTCGTGTCCCGCTCTGGGATCAGATCACTGGTGGCGGCGGGTGAATCAGCAGCCGGGACATGACTGTTATGGTCAGTCCACTGGCTCCTCTGGCTCCTGATACGATCCAGGAGTTTCTTCAGGGCCCGTCGAGCAGCAGGTTTGGAAGGCTTCACTGCAAGAAAAAACACATTCAATGTTGTTCTGGCTTGGTAAAGACAGTTTCTGAGGAAAATACATTAACCTCTAGAGTCCTGAGCTTTGGAAACCCAAGCTGTGCGGTCCTCATATGAGGACGCAGGGACTCTAGAGGTTAAGATTATCACACAGGACAATGAGCCTGTGTTCAGGGCTGGTACCGGTAAGATGCTTGTCCTTGCTTATAGTATCTTAGAATAAACTGAGATCTGTATAATGACTTGAAGCAAATAAGAAAGTAACATTTTCATTGTGCTTAACACATTTTGAGAACAACCATTAAAAACTAATGAGTTCTGGTTTTCTGTGGACCCGGTGCTTCTCCCCACCTTCAGCAGATGCTTCCTGCTCACTGCTTCCGGATTCTTGCTCTGTGTCATGTTGTGTTTCTTCTGTTTCCGGTGTAGCGACTTCATCCAGCGTGACATCCAGCTCTTGGTCCTGGCTGCCTGCGGACTGAGCTGGCAGAGGCTCGGGCATCAACTGGACCACTAGGTCACCTTTAACCCCTGGCATCATACACACGAGGTTTAAAGAGGATCCAGTAAAAATGTGATTTTCCTATGCAAAAATACAACTAAAACTCAACACAATGAAAAGTTCCACTTACAGAGCGCCACCTTCTGGCTACTTCAAAAGTATCTGCATGGTTCTAAAAAAGCTACAGATCTGAAAACTGGTGGCACATCAACTGTTTTTGTGTCTCTTTGTTACAAAACACATTCACAGAAAACTACTGCGTGACTGAGCAGCTCTTACTCCTCTCTCCAGTATACATGTCCTCAAAGGCAAACTCCATCTCCCGCTGGAAGTCCTCCCTCATCTCCTGTCTCTTATAGAGTGGCTGGAAAATCTGAGGAGGCATCTGTGATACCTGCTGTCTCCTCCTCAGCAGGTCAGTCTGCTGCATGTGCTCGAGTTCAACAAGCAAGCGCTCACGATCCTGAAGGAGACACCAAAAACAAAATAACGTGTTCAGCCTAAGGACTGATTGTCTCCTTTTACAACACACCACCTTGACATTCTGATGCAACACCATTAAACGGCTTAGGAGAAATCTTTTTACCCTTCTAATGTAATAACAGAGACAAAGCAACCTTATTCTCCCAATATCACAAACTAATGATGCACTGATCGGAAATGGCCGGTTGTCAATGAGACTGGCCGATCACTCTGATTTCCAATTATGTGCCCATCAGATTTAGAGGCACGACAGTTTTAGTTGGAAGTCTGTAAAAAAAAGATTGAGAAAGATGTAAAATGTAAAACTTTAATGTTTTATTTTTATTACAATTAAAGAAAAGTAACAAAAATGTCTGTGTATGCTGTCAACTGCAGTTCTTAGAAAAAGAAAATCAGAGCTGGCAGGTCCGACTTAAAAGAAATTCAGATATTGGAATCAGCCAAGAAAACTGCAATCGGTGCATCTTTAACACAAACCACTATAATCCATTACATAAAAGCTCAGTCTTCTTTCTTAGGTGAATGCTGCTGTGCTGTTGTCGGGTAACAGGTAAGTTGTACCTGCACGAGCTGTTCCCTGCGCAGAGCCTGCTTCCCTCTGAGACGAGCCTTCTCCAGCTGCTCCTCTCTCCTCCTTTTCTCCTCCCTCTGTAAGTCCTGCAGTCTCCTCACTTCCAGCTCAGCTTCCTCATGGGCACTAGGCTGTGGACACCTCTACAGATCAGGCCACTCTGTTCGAAGGGGGACTAACAAACTATGGGGTTGGGTTCCTACAGTAATCGGAGGACTTACCTGCTGTGTGTCCACCTCTCTGTCCACTGTGCTCACAGGCATGTGGTAATGCGTGGCAGCGAAGGCGCTCACATCCGATTTCTTTACTACATGTGGCTTCTTGGAATCGATGTACTGCTTGAACAAGAGAATACTATGTTACCTTGACTTCACCCAGAACCTAAACCGCACAACTTAAAAAGCTTGTTTTATTTTGTAAACAGGATCCAATCTGACCGGCTGGCGCTGGAAAGGAAAAACCAGTTTGTTTCAAAAAGGTGAACCGTCCATGTTCTAGTTAAAAATAACTGAATATGATAGCACCTCTGGAGGATGATGGACACATGGTGTTTACTCAGCCACAGCTAAGGTGTTGAACAAGGTGCTTCACTAACAGCATGCTCACATTAGTACGGCCGTTTTAATAAAACTGCTCATGCACACCAACATTTTAACAATCAGCAGCACACTATCTGAGTGTGGCTGGGAATTCTTTATCAATTGTACTTTTATCTACTATGTGACCACAGAGCAAGTAAAACTGTTTGGGTTTCCATTTAGTTTGACACACGTGTATGTCCCTGTCTCTCTTTTATTTTCTAAGTTGGTAGTTTATTTGTATGTAAGGCCAATAAACAGGAGGAGGGATCTGGCCTAAGTCAAAACACACCTAATTTGTGAACATGCACAAGCAGACTAGCCTGGACCCAGATTTCTGAATCGGCTGCCACATTTCCTCCTCCTTCAAATAGATTAATCACATATCTTTAATGCTTCACCCTCTTTTAGTCAAAACCTTCACAACACTGTGCCAGACTGATTCTTACCACAGACAAAAAGCTTACAGAAAACAGTGTAATTAATGTTACTGATTGGAAAATCACCTGAATGGGGTTTGGTGGAGGCGGCGGGAGACTGGCCACCTTCGCTGCCCTTTCCTTTTCAGTCTGTAGTGCCATCTTCCTGGCATTGATGGAGCTACCAAAAAGCAAAGAAGTTTAATGCTCAGTTCATTTTGATGAAATTCAGCATGTAAACATCTTCCAAACTCATTTTTGTGACGCTGCTCACCGCATGTGCATCTCATGGTCTTTAAGCCTCTGTGATTTGAGCTCTTTCAGGGCTTCTCGATAACGCTCCTCTGCTTTGGTGTAATTCTCCTCCTTCCTCTGAGCAAGAGCTGCTAAGTCAGGTTCCTTATAGAAATAAATCAAAATCACACAAAAATCCAATTGGATGCTGTACTGACTGTGGGTGGCACAGCGGATAGCGCTGTCGTGTCACCGCAACAAGGTTCTGGGTTTGAGCCCCAGCTGACCCGGGGCCTTTCTGTGTGCAGTCTCCATGTTCTCCCTGCGCCTGTGTGGGTTCTCTCCAGCTTCCTCCCACAGTCCAAAGACATGCAGCTTGGGTTGACTGGTGACTAAACTGCCCATAGGAGTGAGTGTGAGTGTGTGTGTGGTTATTTGTCTACATGTCAGTCCTGGCATCCTGTCCAGGGTGGACCTCGCCTCTCCCCCAACATCAGCTGGGATTGGCTCCAGCCCCCCAACAACCCTCTCCAGGAATAAGCAGTATAGATAATGGATGGAAGGATTGATTTCTAGGTTATTATAATTTGATGGTTTTGTCCATATTCTGGTTTCTCATGAGTTTGGTCTTTCAGTTTCTCCAAATTCATCTTACATGTTGTTTGCACTGAGAAACTAACTGTACAGTAACTAAACTGTCCCCGAAGGCTGTAATAGCTTTATTAACAGGTATTGTCTTCACTCAACAATTAGACCTCTGGCTAATGAAGACCAGGTATAGCTGCTGTGTTCCTTGTTTTAGACCCGTCTTTTCTTACATTTTCTTTTGCACTCCTGTGTCCCTGCCCGAGAAGCTGGAGGCTCTCCTGGTACAACCTCTGAAGCGTATTAAGCTTCTCCCTCTGCTGTTGCTCCCAGTCTTGCCTCAGCTGCTCCGCCAGCTGCTCCAGCTCCAGCTGCCGTCTCTGCTGCACCTCTCGGCAGATCTGCAGAGAAATGTACCGCTGCTGCTCCCGCACCTGGAAATCACAGCAAAATGCGCATGCACACTCAGTCTTAATTTAACAAAATGTGTGTGATGAACTCTCCTTTTAGTAATAATAATAATGTATTTACAGATTTTCTTTATCATAAAAGGATGATCTATTGATCTATTGATTATCGTTTGGTTTTGGACTGCTGGTCAGACAAAACAAGCGAACTGGAGGCCCCGCTGTGGTATGTAAATAGCACGTTTTAAATGACTGACTAAACCATTAACCAATCGATTAATACTTTTTGAAACTGCAGACCTAATTGGCTTAACTGGCAACCTGCCTTAATGAAACCTCCCTCACATAGGCTAAACTGCCCGTTACTCAGAAATCACGGACGTGAAATGAAGCGGAACACCGACATGCAACTTGTATTGGTATTATCACCGCCCAGTACCTGCTGTATGCGCAGTTTTCTCCTCCTTTCATGCTCCTCTCTTATTAACCGAGCCTCTTCATTGGGGCTCGGTCTTAATTTGGCTACTTTTCTCTTCATTGTCTCCAATTTTGCAAGTGAACGTCTCCCAAAAGAAAACAAGTAGGAACTTCGTTATCCATCACGACTTAGAAAGGCATTTAAAACGTAAAACAAACGTGGAGTAACTATTAAAATACAGAAAGGAGAATAAATTAACCCCAAAAGCTTTGTTTATCACCGAAGCCCATGCCAACTGTGCAAAAAAAGTCAACGTTTTCACCCTAAACGTCATATCCGGCGGTTTAAACTGTCCGTGTGGAACAAACTCATTCTTCTTTCCTCCTTTAGACCAAACTGAATTTGGTTCCTATTACTGTTCAAACATGTTCATACTCACATTGTGAGCTCCCAAAACAGTTTTCTAACTTCTCCTAACTAAAACGCACTAAACTAAAATGGTCTACATATTAAAACAATAGATAAATAAATAAAGTAATATCACGCACGTAAAGCTGCGCCGGGGCGCTAGGGGGCAGCAGAGTGCGCTTATCGCTGTGTAGAGAGCGAAGAATGAAGCATACACGGCGCCACTGGAAAACATAACAGTTCCAGTGAATATTCTTTTATACCTGTGTCTGTAGTGAATCATAGAGGTAAGATTAAGACCAATAAAAGATTATGTCGTCACAAGACAGTTTTCCTAGCTCCAGGGTTTGTGTGTATCCTGTGTGATTAGCATGGTACTAACTAGCTAGACGCAACTAACAAGCTACATACTGTAACTACCAGAAGCCGCTTTAACCATTGTCGTCCCATTTAAGGATTTATTTAAGTGATAACGACAAGTAAGTTAATTTAACATATAAGCCAGCAAGACCTATATGGTTTTAATTATAATCTCGAGAAGGGTTATCTGCAAAAAGACCGAGAGTGCTGATTTCTGTTTTCTTTAAAGGCCTTTGTTAAATGTATTTAAAAGTCTTTTATTTATAAAAGTCCTAAAACCTTAAGAAATGTACAAAATGTTTTGTATGTGATCATTTTGGTGTATGGATAGTCTCCAGTACCGCTGTGCTAGACCCTGACGAGCTAAACATTTTATAAATGGCTTAATCCATTCATCCACACGTTTTCTGCTGCTTATCAAGATTCAAGTCGTCATGAATAATTCATTAACGATTTTATTAGAGATTATTGTTAAAAAAAAACAGCTGTTTTTTTTAATTGACCTTTCATACTTGATCAGAATGACTGAAACGGGTATTATTAGCATTTTATGTTGTAATACAATGTCTTAGGGTTGTCTTAAACGTTCAACTTGATATTAAGTAGGTGAAAATAACTTAAGGTTGTGTTTGTGTTTTAAACATTTTCAGAAGTGAGTTGGTTTGGCTTGTTCAAATTCACACTGGCTTTGAAAAGTGACAAATTCTTCAGTTCAGGTTGCAGGTCACTCTCAGCTGAGCTGCTTTGTGATTCACTGTGTCTCAGACAGTTTGATGAGTCTCTCTCACTGGTTGTCTTCTTCATCTCAGCCTTGTCATCATGTCTGGTGGTCCAGCAGTGAGGGTCAGCATTGAGTCTTCCTGTGAGAAGCAGGTGCAGGAAGTGGCTTTGGATGGGACAGAGACATATGTCCCCCCTCTGTCTATGTCTCAGAACTTGGCGAAGTTGGCACAAAGGATTGACTTCAGCCAGGGATCTGACTCGGAGGAGGAGGGAGGTGAGGGCGAACCAAGGGATCGTGAGTGGGGCAAGCAGGAGCAAGAAGAAGAAGAAGGTACCATAAGCTCAAAAGGACACAGAGAGAATTAGTAGATAGGTTTAGCCGTACATTGTGTTAGTTTAACTTGCTAGAGGTCTCTGGTTGCTGAAAAAGCAAATTCCGGTTTAAACTATTATTTTAGAGTCTCTTTCTCAAGGTTCCCACAGGTCAATACTTCAAACTTTTAGAAGAGTATTTCAGAAGGGGAAATTAGCAAGTATGGTCAATGAATTCTAATATGAAGGAAAACTACAGGAAAGTAGAAGATTATATTTTAAAACATGAACTGCAATAGTGGTTAATCAGCTCCTTTTTTCTACATTAAAGAGCCCTTGGTGCGCGTTTCCTTGTTTTCTGACTTATCTATAATGTTACAATGATGAATTATCATCTTAGACGTGACCTAAAGCTAAAAAAAAAGAGGTTCTATTTACCAATAAAGAATTCTCACTCCTTATGACTGACTCTGCACAGGATAAGCAAATATGAATCGATGATGGATGGGTTCAAAACAACAAACTCATTTATAATATGACAGCGATAGGGATTCTGGTTTCTCTGTTAGAATAAAATCTGATGAGCTGTTTTCCTTGCACAGGTACAGTTAAGTTTCAGCCATCTCTTTGGCCCTGGGACTCGGTGCGTAACAACCTGCGCAGTGCCTTGACCGAGATGTGCGTACTCTATGATGTGCTCAGTGTAGTGAAGGAGAAGAAGTACATGGCCTTAGACTCAGTGATGAAGGATAAGAAGTACATGGCCTTAGACCCACTGCCTCAGGATCCAACAGCTGGCAAGGTAAACCGCTGAAGACTATCCCTAAACATCTGCAGGAGGGGAAACAGTGGGTTCAGATATGTTCAGATATGATGATGATCTTTGGTTTGTATTTCTCACAGCTGTCAGTGTTTTACAGCCATATTTACTTCCATCCATTGCTCATTCATCAACAGTATTTTTCTTGCCAGTGTAACACACTGTGAGAAAGCGCTATATAAAATACAGTCCATTTACCATTTGTCAGACCCCCCAGGTGTTTCAGCTGATCAGTAAAAAAAAATCATTGGCCACGGCAGCACAGCTCCTCCTGAAGGGTGCAGAGAAGCTCAGCAAGTCCGTAGCAGAGAACCAGGAGAACAGGAGGCAGAGGGACTTCAACTCTGAGCTTCTGCGACTCCGCTCACAGTGGAAACTACGCAAAGTGGGAGACAAGATCCTGGGAGACCTCAGCTACAGGAGTGCAGGTTCTAAGGCTTCTGATATAGTAGTCCTCAGTCAAATCTGAAAAAGGCTTTTTGCACAACATGGTTGTAGACTTTCAGTCTAACTGCAGGCTAAAGTGGCTTGACACCTGACCCATGCAGGTTCCCTTTTTCCTCACCATGGCACGTTTGAGGTGATTAAGAACACAGACATTGATCTGGACAAAAAGATCCCAGAGGACTACTGCCCCCTTGACGTCCAGATCCCCAGTGATTTGGAGGGATCTGCTTATATCAAGGTGAGAGGGAAAGAAAGAATGCCTGAGATGATTGGAGTTTATGCTTGATTTCTCATGTTTTTACTCATGCTACATTTTAGTGTGAAATGAAAAAGAAAAGGACAACCCTGAATGAATAATCATCTTGACACACCAGTGAATATTAGTTTATGCAGGAAGTGTTTAGTAAACCCTGCCTACCTGCGTAGTACATTCATTTACAGCTTCCATAGTCTTGGCAGCTGTAGTCCCCTGTATGTTTTTGGAGATTTCAGACATGTAGTTGTCACAGTCCAATACTGATTTGTCTTCAGGTGTCCATCCAGAAACAAGCTCCAGACATTGGTGATCTGGGAACTGCCAGCCTGTTCAGGAGACTGCCAAAACCCAAGCCTGGTATGGTTCAGTGCACACAGACATGGCATTGCATGTTTTCAACAGGTGCTAAATGTTTAAACCTTTGTTAGTAATGTCTTCATCTCTGCCTGTAGATTTTGTAAATGTATATCATCTCTGAAATGGCCCTGCTTTCTTTTCCTCCACATATTGAACTCTCATCTTTCCTTCTCACCCGATCTCTCTTCATCCTGGCATCGTCTTGTTTCTGCCCTCGCTGCCCAGGCACCCAGACGTGGCACGTGAAGCTCGAGGCTGCTCAGAATGTTCTGCTCTGTAAGGAGATTTTTGCCCAGCTGTCCAGGGAAGCTGTCCAGATTAAATCCCAGATCCCTCACATTGTTGTGAAGAATCAGATCATCTCACAACCCTTCCCAGGTCAGGCCGTTTATGACAGCATCCATGTGAGAAAACCTCACCACCAAGATCTAAAGTTGCTGTATATTTAACATTAAAGTACAAATGCTGTGATGTTGGTGGCTTTTTATCTTCTTATGCAGTAGGTTCAATTCAACCGCAGGCCAGAATTAAGTGGTTTGACCACTACAGCCTGTGCTGTATTCTGACTGTTCAACGTGCCTTACTTTAAAAAAGTGAACCAAAGATATGTCTGTGTGATGAACACAGAGAGGCGTTGATTGAGAAATAATTCCAAAACACTCAGAAAACTGATAAAACACCTTGTTGGTTGAGCTGTTTTACATTTGTAGTTTATCCAAAATGCAGTTGCTGCCCTATACAGAGATTCTTTGTGTTTGTGTCTGGTGTTCTTCTCTGTGGCTCTAGAGTCGGCTCTGATTTTTCTTTTCTGTATGGAGACATAAAAGAAACATACTCCCACCTTATCTGTTCCTGTGATTTCCCTCTTATAGGTCTGCAGCTGTCCATCTCACTGTGCCACTCTACAGGGGAGAGGAAGAACCATCGAGCTTCTCCAGAGAAACCCAAACCAGACGACCACCTTTACGTGCTGGAACACAATCTACATCAAATGATGAGAGAGGTGAGACAAAGGTCACATCTCATTTCTCCTATAAGACTGTTCCTACATCCTCGGCCATAGGATGACCCAAGTCTCTTACATTGGCTCTGAGGATGGTGCAGGAGGAGCCAGGACCGAGGATACAGGAGGCCATCGTTTGTGGAAGTTTTTTGTGACAAGTTTTTATCACAAATCAGTTGTTGATTGGACACAACAGATGATCGATCTGAGGATGGGACGTTTCATGTCGTTAATAATGTGTCTCCTTGAGTCCTCTCTCCTCACGTTTTCCTTGCATCTTATGTGGACGGGATTGAGACACAGGAAAAGACGTCAGTGAGGGAAATGACGGCGTTTATAAGAGACATGGGACGTACCCCCTGTGTTAGGTCACTCTGCATCAGCTGAAGTCGTGTATTCTGTAGTATGTCCACTAGAGGGCAGTGCTGGTTTGTTTTTCACCTGTAAGCCATTTGTTCATTTCTTGACCCCAGTTGATAAAAAACAAATATAAGGGAGCCTTATCAATGTTTGTTCATGTTATGAGTTGTGTAAAGAAAATTAATAGCATGCTGATAAGGGGATTGGGATGGGATTTGAACTCTCAAATATTTTATTCAAATACTGTTACAAGCCAATACTGAAAACCACCATCAGTACAGATTTTACTTAATTAATTCTCATTTAATTTGATCACTTCTCATTTAACTGTTGCAGTTCCACAAGCAGCAGTTGAGTTCTGTGGTGATGCCACATCCTGCTAGCGCCCCCTTTGGCCACAAACGCCTGCGACTGGCGGGGCCGCTGGCCTACGACAAAGCAGAGATCTCCAGTTTGCAGCAGAATGAGGGGCTGCTGGAGAAGATCATCAAACAGGCCAAACACATATTCCTACGTAGCAGGTAACTTTAGCTGTACTGCTTATGGTTGACTACGAAAGCAGTTGCCAGTGGCGGTTTTGGCATTGTCACATGATTTTAATTTACAGTAATGTAACCGTTCAACTATGGAGCTTCAGTCCAGACCATAGCCATTTAGACAGATCATTTTATTTCTCCACGTACATTTTAATGTATAAACTTTGGGCATTGTGTGTTAAAAGGTCTTTATCTCTCACACATTTCCTTCTGTATTGATGTAAACCTCCTCAAATCTGGGACTCGGCACCTTAATGTAGCATCCATACATTTATTTCAAAAGGAATATTTTGAAGCACAAAACCTGAGTCCAGTCATTTGTCAGATGCATGAAATGACACTTCCAGATGAGCTCCTTGTTGTTTGCAATGCCACGTTTGGTTATCGTTGCCCTTGTTCACTATAGGGCTGGTTGATATGGACCAAAAATCATATCCCAGTGTTTTTAGGCTGAGCGATACAGTATCTCTGTGTTTTTTATGAAGTGGGCTAAATGTTCAAGTCAGAAGCACATGTAAGGCGTCAAACTGATTATGATTAAATTTATATGCAACAGTTTCTTTACCTGCAGCTTCAAAACATGATAAAAAAATTAGTCAAATTAAACAAAGGGTAGATATTTAGGTGTCTGCTTGTCTGTGATACGGAACTGAAAAATATGTTTAAAACCGTTTTCATTTTCTTTAACGATGTGGGTCACCTATAGGGATGTGTGTGGTTAAATAACTGCATGTGTAAATGTTGCGATCGGGCAGATGGCACCTTGAGTCGGTGGTTATTAGAAGCTTTTTAAATCCTCCTCCTTCCACTGTTGCAACTGCGTCTTTATCAGCGTAGCAGGCCACCGCTTTAGTTATATCACTCCACTTTGCACTTTTCTTTTCATAAGGTACACCAGGGGATGCAGGCCAGTGATGCAGCAGCCGCACAAAGTTTAACACACTCTTCACACTGCGCTTTATGGCGCTGTTGTAAATGGTGGAAGAGATTTTTATTTTTTTTATACAAACAAGGGCTATGTCGCCCCCCCCCCACCCTGTATTATAGGCAAATTTGTGTGCCCGACTGGAGCAAGTTTTGTACAAAGACATAAAGGGGAAGAGAGGGTGGGGTGAAAGAGGAGATATCTATGCAAATGATATCGTCTCATCTTACACCTCGTTTGAAATTATATCGGTATATCTTACAAAGTATAGTACATACCGCCCAGCCCTAGTTCATAATAGATCTCAGGAAAATACATCTATAACCACAAAAGTCATCATCAGTGTTGAAC